TCCCTCCTTCATATTTAAATGATAATCGTGCTGGATACAGTATTCTTGGTTCAAGGCCCTTCTGTTTTATTGCATTAGATATATCATGCCATTCTCTTCTGGCCTCTAAGGTTTCTGTTGAGAAGTCTGATGATAGCCTGATGGGTTTTCCTTTGTAGGTGACCTTTTTTTCTCTCTGGCTGCCTTTAATACTCTGTCCTTGTCTTTGATCTTTGCCATTTTAATTATTATGTGTCTTGGTGTTGCCCTCCTTGGGTCCCTTGTCATGGGAGTTCTGTGTGTTTCTGTGTCTGAGAGGCCATTTCCTCCCCTAGTTTGGGGAAGTTTTCAGCAATTATTTCTTCAAAGACACTTTCTACCCCTTTTTCTCTCTCTTCTTCTTCTGGTACTCCTATGATGTGAATGTTGTTCCTTTTGGATTGCTCACACAGTTCTCTTAATATTCTTTCATTCCTGGAGATCCTTTTATCTCTCTCTGCATCAGCTTCTCTGCATTCCTGTTCTCTGTTTTCGAGTCCATTGATGGTCTCTTGCATCTCGTCCATTCTGCTTTGAAGTCCTTCTATAGATTGTTTAATTTCTGTATTCTCCCTCCTTAGTTCTTGCATATTTCTCTGCAAGGCCATCAGCATGGTTATGAGTTTTGTTTTGAATTGTTTTTCAGGAATATTGCTTAAATCTACCTCCCCAGATTCCTTCTCAGGAGAGGATATTGAAGGTGTCTGGGTTAGTCTGATCTGGATCAAATTTTTTTGCCTTTTCATGTTGATAGATGTAGTGGTATACTATTGACTCATCTGTCAGCTGGGAGAGCCAAGACCTTTTCCACTTGCTCCTGGTCTTTCTTTACTGGGACAACGGCGACCCCTAGCGGCTTGTATTGGGCAATTGAACGTAGACTGGGTCTGTTTCTTCCCCAGCCGCTATGGAGGAAGCTCCCTTGCTATGGGCGTGGCCAGCCTCAGGCTGCTGCTCTGCTATGGTGGGATGCCGGAGTGGGAACAGACAGGGGGTGCTGTTTTTCGCCGGGAGGGGTCTCAGAGCTGTTGCCCAGGGGGTTAGGGTGCCCGGAGTTCCCCAGGATTCCCAGCTGCTGGGCTAAGTGTCCCAGGATGCTTCCGTCCAGCTGTCGGATCCCTGTACTTTTAAGACTTTCAAACAGCCCTGGCTTTTCTTTGTCCCAGGGGCGCCAACTGTGGGGACCCAGTCACTGGTCTTACTGTCCTGTTTCCCTAGTATCCAGCACCGCACGCCTGGGTGCGGATGGCTAGGGCTGGCTATTTAGCAGTCCTGGGCTCCCTCTCCCTCCCCACTCCGACTCCACTCCTCCCACTGGGAGCTGGGGTGAGGGGTGCTCAGGTCCCGCCGGGCCGGGGCTTGTATCTTACCCCTTTTGCCAGGTGCTGGGTTCTCGCGGGTGTGGATGTGGTCTGGCTGTTGTTCTGTATCTTCTGGTCTCTCTTTTAGGGATAGTTGTATTAGTTGTATTTTCAAAAATATATATGTTTTTGGGAGGAGATTCCCACTGTCCTACTCATGCCGCCATCTTGGCTCTGCCCCTCTGTATTTTTTATTTCTAGAATTTTGGCTCTTTCATAATTTCAGATTTTCTGCCAGAAATTCTTGTTGTAATCATTCTTTTTAATAAATACTGTTTTTGAAAGCTCAGCCGCCTGATTCCTTATGGGTCTGTTTCTGTTGTCTATTCTTTCTCTTGATTTTTAATCACAGTATCTTATCTTCTCATGTACCTGGTTATTATGAGTGTTGTGGACTTAAAAATGAAAAAGTTGTGAAGAATTTAATGTTTAGAATGATGGTATCTTCCTCTAGGAAGTATTTGTATTTGTTTCTAGGAGATGGCTAGTGGAATTGGCAATCCTGGACCATTTTAATATTACCAGGAATTAAGATGATTTGAAGCTGGATTTTATTTAGTCCTTTAAGATCTGGACTGTTTTTACTTCATTCTACTTCTAGTGTATGGCATTGCAGAGGCCCAACCCACAGTATGGGGGATTCACCATGCCTGTCCTTCGTGGTCCTTGAACTTTAGTTTGACCCCAGAGACCTGGGTGCCTATTAAAAGCACTCTGTTCAGTTCTTGGTGGCTTGTTTCGATGTCCTAGGAGAAATATGGCACCCAGTGCAGGGTTTCCTTCATTTCCCAGATACCGACTCAATAGTTCTTTATTGTACAGAAACAGGTATTTATTCTACATTTTGTCCAGCTTTTCTAATTGCTATTGTCAAGAAGGCTTTTTCACTTTATCAAACTAGAAGTGGAACTTCGATATTTTGTGTAAGTTCCTCTGGTGAACTTGTGGCAGCTGGAACCACTGCATCTCATCTTCTGCTGCCTTCCTCTCCTTGTTCAGGCCATTCCAGCTACTCAGACCTGTATACTGTTTCTAGCATATTCCTGCCTTAAGACCTTTGTACTTGCTGTTTTCTATGCATAGGGCTGTTTCTCCAAATAGCTGAATAGCTCACACTCACTTTTTTCAGGTGCTCATCAAAGGTCACCTTATCTGTGAGACCTTTCTGACCTTTCTGATGAGCACCACATATAAAATAGCAATACCTCCTCCTCCCCCTTAAGAGCCTTGGTTTTCTCCACTGTGCTCATGTGCTTACGTGTTGTGATTAGTTTCCTCCACCATGTGTTAAGCTCTTTTGATCTATGTCCAGCACCTAAAATTATCCTGCACTAGAAAATGCTTAATTAATATTTGTTGCTGAATGAATATATGAATGAAATTATATTGAGGATGATGAAAGTACAGGCTTCATAGGATGTTTATGAGGATTAAATAATCCATGAAAGGTATTAGGAACAGTGCCAGGTATATTATAAGCACTCACATACTATTTTTAAAAATTGTTGCCTCTCAAATGATCGCTTCTCATTTCTAGATATTGTCGAGGTTGGAAAGAACTTGCTTTTTGTAAAGCAAGCCTATTCCCCACCCCACCCCTGTGGATTACTATTATAACTAACCCCATATTTTATAGTGCTTTGCCAGTGGCTGGGATGGTAGAATGAAGCTTAACCAATGAAACTCTGTTCACATTGGTAGAGGATGGTAATCAAGGAAGAGCTTTTAATGTAATGTAACGAATGGTAGAGTGACAGAACAGACGTTGTCCCTTTTTAACTTTTATTTCTTAAATACTGCATTCTCAGAGACTGGCACACTCACAGTCTTATGTAATGCAAATGAAATACAATACTAAGCAGATATAAGCAGATACTGCCTTCTGTTGAAGAGAACATCAAGACTGATTGACCTGAGTGGTAAGCATTGACTCAAGCAAATGTTGAAGTCAGTGCATACCCCAAGGGACAATCAATCTTGATGATCAGAGAAATGTAGCTAATCTCATTATTATTATAAAGTTTCACTGGAAGTATCTGGAAATCTTCTGGCATGAGCCTCTTGAGCATGTTTCTCTTAGGAAAAACCCAACAACGAACTTTTAACTTGAAGACACAGATTGTTCCTTAAAGTCCTTGGACAGGCTTATGAGCTTTTTTTTCCCCCTGCCTGTTGTTAATTTGGACAGCAAAGCTCCTTCTAATGCCTGACAGCATTATGAATTGGCAGCTTTACTCAAAAAATGGATTATTATCAGTTCAGTTTTTGTTTCAAACCCATTATGTTGTTTCTAAGTCTTATGTAAGATACTTGTTAAGGTAAAAGACATGGAGAAAATATTTTGACCTTTATAGAACTGTAACTCTCTATATATGAAATAGGCAGTGAAACAAGATTATATGTGGTACTGTATATTTCTAATACCATAGAAGCTCTTTCAGAAACTTGAGGTGAGAGAAAAGCTAAAGAAAACTTCTTGGAGGTGAACCATAAATAAAATCCTGAGTAGGATTTGAATAGGCAGGTAGAAGAATATTTTCTGGTGTGACAGATAATCAGATTTCAAAAGCATAAGATTTAACGTGGACTTAAAAAAAATTTATATGAGTAATAAATGCTAAATTATAGAAATTTTGAGAAGACGTAAGTAAATATAAATTGTAATACCAGAGATAACTAACTTTAACATTTCATCATACATCTTCCTAGGCTTTTTTCTGTTCATGCAGATGCAGATATAAATTGTATACATAAATATTTGTATGCATATATATGGGAAAATAAATATATAAAGGGATAATATTAAATTCTTTCATAAAGATTCACTCAGAAGTTTTTTGCTATTGTGAAATTATTTATATGGTACTTTAATTGGCCTTTGTGATTCCCAAGAGTTTTCCTTCCTGAACATACTGGATTCATTTGGCAGAGTCAGTAGTATCATTGTTCTGACTGATCACACATGTCTTGTAATTTTTTTAGGTGCTGGGTCTTCAGCTCTGAAGAGGCCATTTGAAGATGGATTAGGGGATGATAAAGATCCCACTAAGAAGATGAAACGAAATTTAAGGAAAAGTGTGTAAAATCTTTATTCTTATAGATGTGAGTTAGAAAGAATTTATGGTCAGGAAAATAAAAATTACAAAGTAGAGAATTTGATTTGAATTGGAGTTTTAAGAATAGATCTTAATTGAGAAATTGGTGATTGAATAACTTCTGTTTCCCAGCTTCATTGCTTAAGATATATAACTAAAATTAATGTATACATATAGTAATATATATTAATTTTACAATGATGTTAACATAATTTAAGAAGTAATTTTAGAATTATGATTTAATTATAATTAATTTGTATCTGTTTTGAAGTTCTTTCTTTTTTAAAACCTGGTGAATTTATACTGGTCACTAAGAACATGTAAATGCATAGATTAGAGCAAAATGGTTTAATTTCTGATTGCATTCCTCTTTTTTTTAACAGTTCTGGATAGTAAAGCAATAGACCTTATGAATGCACTAATGAGGCTAAATCAGATCAGGCCTGGGCTTCAGTATAAGCTCTTATCTCAGTCTGGCCCTGTCCATGCCCCAGTCTTCACAATGTCTGTAGACGTGGATGGTACAACATATGAAGCCTCAGGACCATCCAAGAAAACAGCAAAACTTCACGTAGCAGTCAAGGTACAGTATTTATTTCAGAAAGCAGTGCTTTGTTGTTTTGTGTTGTAAATAAGGTCCTTATTTTCCATAGTAAATTAATAGAAATTTTCAAGATTTTAATGATGATAACATACAGACTTCTGCCGCCTCTGGATCACAAAATTATTTTTTGGTTGTGAATAATGTGTTGATTATACATTTGTAAAACCCCGAAAAAAGTAAAGAAATAAAAATATGTCACTTGCATATCTCTGAGGTAGATGATTAATATTTATAACATGTTGGTTTATTTACTTCCAATTTTTTTGTTTTTGTTTTTTTGCATTGAGCTCCCAGTGTATGTATATGCAATTTTATCCTCTGAATTTTTTTACTTAACATGTTATCAGTGTTTTTCCCTGTTATTAAAATCATAAATAAATTTTAATGGCTGTATGATTAACATGATATGGATGTACTATTTGTTTAAAATTTCCCATTTTTCTATCATCAGATATTTTGGTGTTTGTGGATTTTTTTCTGTCATAAGTAAATTAAATCATGATCTTTGTGCATATGGTGCCTTTTCTGTATTAGAATGTTTCCATAGGGAATAAGGTCCAGGATTGAACCAATCAGTCATGCACTTTAGGTTTGTAGAAAATTGCTAAATACTGGAATCTTTCCACGAGTACATCTGATCTCTTGCAGACAAATGCAAAAATGTCAAAGATCATGTTGACTGAAGATCAATTTTTACTTAAGTTCTGTAATGTAACAGTATGATATAAGCTATAATTGGTCTGTTTTCATGATCATTCCATTCTGCAGTATTATTCATGTAGATGCAAACATTATTCTGGATACTAAGGATACAGCAGTGAACAAAATAGTCCTTATCTTCCTGGAACTGTATTCTAGTATGGATAGGACAGGGAGACAGATAACAAATGTACAAGGGAATAGATTATATGTCAGGTAGTAGTAATGCAGAAAAATAATAGCTAAGCTGTAAAAACAAAACAGTATTTATTTGTATCTAGTTTAGAAAAGGAGTACCTCAAGTATGATGAAATAGTCTGAGTTTAAAATGAGGCAGTAAAAGAAAAACAAAGAATGAGGGGAAAAGTGAATGCAGGAATAAAGCTAAAAACAGTGTAATAATTGAGCAGTAATGTATGCTGGAATGAGTCACAACTTTAGATTGAAGTTTTCCAGCATTTGACACAAAAAGCTTGTGAAATTCCAATTCACTGTCTAAGACTTAACAGACAGCTGATGATGAGAGTCAGAGTTTTGGTATAAAGCTCAGGTGAGCATTCTCCTTGGTAGGTCTTCACAGAGAGAGATGGCAGTTGTATCTCTTAAAGGCATCTATGATGCAGTGACACAGTGGGGTGGTTCTTACAATGAACTTTATTTAATATAAACTAGTGGCCGCATAGCAAGTTGCAATTCAGTAAACCTTGGGGGAGTTAGTATAGTGGCAAACTGCAATATGACAAGATTTAGATGCTATTTTTTCTCATTATAGCCATTAACATTTTGGTATGTATTTTTCCAAGACTTCTTTTTTTTACCTGTAATTCCAAAATCCAAAAAGCATTGAAAGTGAAAAATATTTCCCCAAGTTTGGTGTAAACTCACTTGATGGGAAAACCTGACCTGAATTAAGTAGGGCTATTTTTAGTCTTTATTATTTTATTTAGTTTGTATGTTCCTTTTCACAAACATGGGTTTGCACCTGAGAACCCATTGGAGATTTGGAAAATACATTGCAAATGTATTAGTTTTCCAAACACTGAAAAATTATGAATTCTCAAAGCAGTCTGGCCCCAAGGATTTCACATAAGGCATGGTGGGACCAACATAATGTGTATACAAAGTATGTACTTAAAATAGGATCATGTTTTTTCTGTGTTCATCTAAAAATATAGTGTGAAATTTTTCTTTATAATTATCACAAAGATTGCTCTCATTTTTAGTGGTGGCCTAATATTTCATTGTTATCAATCTACCATAATATAACTATTCTTTTTAGATTTAGATACTTTGATTACTTTACATCTTTTTGAATTACTCTGATTATTCCTTAAGATGTTTTGTAGAGGTGGAATTACGAAGTTAAGAGGAAAGCACATTTGAATGATCCATTAGTTTATTAAATATGTATTGGGATTCCTATTATATTTCAGGTGTATATTACCAATTGCCACCTATAAAGGTTATACCACATTTTACAGGTTTTCTTTAAAAGTGAGTTTGAGTGTTTTATGTCCAACATGTGCTCATGAAAGTAAGTCTTGCTAGATAAAAATCCTTGGATTTCATACTCAGTATCTTGGTGTAGGGTCGATACCTATTAAGACTGATCACACTAGAGAATCAAATCAAAGCAAAGTAGGAAGAGTTCAGTTCACCTTGAAGTGGTGATTAGTGGCTAACCTTCCCTTTCCTCTTCCAATTCTTCTTCCTCATAGTCCTTCACAGAGGACACCATTGGGGTCATAGTCAGCTGTATTCCATGAAAAGAATCTTAGTCATTATGGGGAAAAGATCAGCTAGGAGGCAACAAGGGCCGAAGGCTCTTTGGAGGGGTTCTTGGAGCCGTCAAGCCCTCTGTCACACACAAGCTGTAACTGTGTCTTCCTTTTGAGTGGAGAGCCATGGGGTGCAGTGTGTTTTCTTTTCACTTTTGGCCCCCGATCTTTGAGGATAACAGTTTTCTTAGCCTCAATACCTTTACAGGAGAAAAAAGGCATAATTACATTGGATTTCCTAGTCACCTTATTTCCAGGAGTCGTCTTCTGATTTTTCAGCTCAGCCAGACCCTTGAAACTCACTTTTCTTTGATATACTAGTTTTGTGGTCTTAATATTGATTACAGATAAACTGTAGTTCTGGAGGTCTGAGAACTCATTACTTTTTTTTTTTTAAACTGTAGCACATACTAGTTGATAATCTTAGAATATATGTTCATAGAAAAATTACTTAATTTGAAATTTTTTTGTTAGTTGCACTGTATTACAAGTACACTGTATGCCTTGAGATTGTCCCTAGGTTATATAAAATATTTATAAATGTACTGAAATATGTTGCTACAGTAGCAAGTAAGTAAATGAATCTGGTATGTGAGAAAATGGCAGAGAGAAGTGTTAAGTAATTCACGTTTGACTATTTTAACTGCACATGTTAAGTTGGGAAAAGCTGCATGTCTTTAGTTTTTTTATTGGAATAAACAAATATGTTTGTGACTCTGCTTTTTACTTGCAGCCTTTTTTAGCTAGTGTTAATGTCAGACTGTAACTATTCTTTCAGAGGAGATGTTTCTCAGGGAGAGCAGATGCTGGAGAAGGTGTTTTCTTTGTAAAATATTGATGAGGATATAACCACATAATGTTAGTGTACTAGGGTGTAAAGTGCTACCTGAGCACTCTTAGAACTTAAGATGTTAAAAAAGCATTCTTGACTTTACTCTTAATGAATACAAAGAATCTATGATTTGAAATGTTTAATAGAATACCAAATTCTCCATATGAATTGGGTGAATTTCAGTTTCTCTTGGTATAGAGTTCTACTTGGACTCATTTTTTGTTTAGAGTTTACTTTGTATACATTGGCAGAATCCTTTATATAAGATGCTATTGTTTGTAAAGGCTGGGTGGCCTTGCTTCTCATTTGTGTGCTAGTGTAACAGTTTTTGAAACACCTCTTAGGTAGAGTTGGGATTATAAGGAAATAAGATATTGCTTTTACACACTTCAACTTAAAACGTTAGTCAAAAGGTGAAACAAGTACAGTGATCTTAAGGAACCTATCTCTGTCTTCTGATATAAACCTTAAAATTAGTATCTGACAATGCAATATTAACATGTTTGAAAGAGACTTTAAGAATGCTGTTAACATACTCTCTGGTAAGCCTCAGAAAAGCAGTATAACCAGGAAGGAGGTAGTAAAAGGCAAAGAAACACACATGCACACACACACTGATGAGAAATGTCAGGCATTGAGTGGGATTATAAGAAGAATGAATGTTCTTCTTATAGAAGAAGGAGGAAGCTATAAAGGACCCAGGCCTTGAGAGGCAGGGATGGAAATACAAACCTGAAATTGTTCCTAGTTCACTTAGTATAGAGTATAAACCTGGAGACTGAATCTTTCAAGTCTTGATTATGGTTTAAGTTGAAAGCAAAGAGGTTATTTTATAATTAACAGGCAGATTGGTTCCAAGGTAAAGAAAACAAGAAAACTTCTTGATTCCCTTTCTGTGCTCATTTCCCCTAGTGGATTGAATCATAGAATTTACAGGTCAACTAATGAGTCTTCCTGTTCTGCAGATTGGAAAACTGAGAACCAGAGGACAAACCGAGGACTAGACCATCAGGGGTTTGCCTTTCTAGTCCTGTGTACTTTTTACAGTGCGCTTGTTTACTTCTCCCCTCACCCCACTGGTTGAACTGGGCTTTTCTCTTGCGTCCAAGTTAAATTTATGGGGAGTGGCCTCACATTTGCATTTCTGGCATCCTTTATTTAAACCTTCTTACTCCGAGGATGTTTTTGAAAATGGTTATCTACCTACCTACTAGGAGTAACCCTTGTTTAACGGAAGATTTGTAGGCTTAGCACCATCTTGCTCTTCCTCAGGGTGTTTCATGGATTTAAATGTTGTGGATTTAAAACTGTTGTTTTCAATATTTCATCTATCCTCTGTGGTCTCTCATGTTTGAATAAAACTGAATCTTAATGTAATTTGTACAGGTATTGCAGGCAATGGGGTACCCCACGGGCTTTGATGCAGATATTGAATGTATGAGTTCTGATGAAAAATCAGATAACGAAGGCAAAAATGAAACAGTGTCTTCAAACTCAAGCAATAATACTGGAAATTCTACAACTGAAACCTCCAGTACCTTAGAGGTATATTTATATGCTTTTTTCCTTAGAAAATATAGATTATAAAAAATTTGCTAGGAAAAACATAGTTAAGAAAATCAAAAGCATATACAAACATACTCTAGAGGCTGCCATTATTGAGTATTTTTATGAAGGTGATCATTTTCTTATGAAGTTCTACATCTTTTTCTTTTTTCACTCAACTCTAAAAGTATCTGTAAACATGACTATACTGCACAACACATGAATGTATCCTAATTTTACTAGCATTTCCCTTTTGCTGGCCGTGGAAGTTGCTTCTGTTCAATTGGAAGTTCAATTATAATGTATTGAGTATCAACAATAACTGAAGAGTGAAAAACTAAAATATCTAGTGGAGGAAATTTAGGATTATTTGAAGTTTGTGTTGAGGTGTTGGAGGGGGTGGTTGGGAAGCAGTGGTTCATTATTGAGTTAGTTCAGCCCTGAGGAAGACATAGCCTGACTTAGCGTGTTCCTCAGACTCTTAAGTCCTGGTCTGTGAGCTTATCACCATAATAGAATGGGACAAAAGTCCAAGCACCAAGTACACACAGCACATTTGGGAGTTCATGGAGCCCTTGATTCTGGGCTCTACGTAAGAGAGATACAAAATCCTTGATTTTGGATTCTACATAAGGAAAATTGGCTTTAAAATAACAGCAAGGGCTTACACTAAAATTTTTCTTAAATTTGTCATTTGTAAGAATGAGTATCAAGGACTCAGTGGGTATAATTTCTTCAGTCCATAAACCCCTTTTATTTCCTACTTATTGCCAGATGCTGCAGAATTGTGTACACAGTTTCAAGGTACTGTCAGGATAGAAAGGCAAAAGACATGTTCATGACTAATTCTAGGTAATGTGATAAGCGCCGTGATTGCAAAATGTGTAGTGATGTAAAACCTCAAAGGAGGAAATGATTTTGAAACTTAACACACATACAAAATCAAAGGAAGTAAAATGTGAGCTAGGTTTTAGATGATGGGTAGGATTTTGCTCTGTGGGAAAGAGGCAGAAAGAAGGCATCTGGGCCAAAGGAAGAGGTGTAATAGTGACCTGGAGTGAGAGTAGATGTCTGAGAAGTGCTAGGTGGGCTGGTATGGGGCTGCTGCTGTGGGTCAAGGCCTGTGAGAGCCATGCCCAAGTCTTCCTGTGATACTGTGGACAGTAGAAGACATGGCACCTGGCTTTTGAGGGGACCAGTCATTCACAGGTGGTAGTCACAGGTGGGCGAGATTTTTGCTGTTAGTGTTACAAAGACAAAGAGAAGAAAGAGCTCATTAATTATGAGGCTCAGCCAGTCAAATTCTAAGGGAATTGGGGAGAGTGCAGCCTGGGCTGCATGGACAGCAGCCCCAGGAGTATGTAGAGGCTTCTGTAGTGAGCTCACCTGGGCTTTGTTTCTCTATGATGTAGTAAGTGGGGAAGGGGAAGAAAGCCCTTCTCTTCACTTAAAATAGTAGTAACTGATGAGAAATGCAAATATTTTTATGTCTTGACTCATTTTTAGAAAAATGATTTCAGATTTGGAAAGCAGCAAGAGATTACCACAGACCTAGTTTCAAAAATTACTAATTACTTTTTAAAGGCAGAGACTAGATTTGCATTGAAATTTTAAAAATGTAGATTATAAAAATTCTTCAAGAAGTGATGTTTGTTGCAAAAGACCCAGGGATAGTTATTAACCTTGTCTTTAAAAATTGTTCAATGTTTCACTGCTGCGTAGCATCAACCACTTAGCCAATCAGCATGGAGTACTTTATGAAGAGAATCTTGGTGTCTGTTAGGTCTATGTACATAATAATTGTGACTGCATTACTTTGTTCAGCATTTCTTCAGCAGTTACTGTGGTGGAATTACAGACATGATCTCTGACCTCAAAAAGTACTCAATCTTTGGGTCTTTCCTTTCTCAAAATTACAGTTGTGGTATTTTGTGGTTTGCTTTATTTTCAGTGCTAGCGTCTCTCTTGATTTGAGCCTTCATACTCTTCATGAATTACTTCTCTTCCTTACATTTAGTTTTATCCTTCCTCAAGTCAGTTCTGTCTACCACTCCTAGAGTGATTTTTCTATAATAAAAAGCTAGTCATGACTTTTTCCCAGATTAAAGTCTTTAAGTGGCTCCCCATCATCCATGATTAAGTCAAAGCTCATTTGCATGGCATATGAAGCCCTTTATGATTTGACACCATCAAGGGTTTTCTTTTCAGGTCCTGCCTTCCTTTCCTAGCTCCCTTATACAGCCAAACTAAACTTCTGGCCATTTCCCAAACAAATATTCTTAACTTCTCTTGGGCCTTTGCATCACTGTTTGTTTTCTTCAGAAAGCTCCTTTGTTTTCTCTTTATCACAGTCTGGTACTGACCTTTTAGGGTCAGTTTGCATGTCACTTCCAGGAAAGCTATCCTAATTACCCTAGAAAATGATTCCTTCTGCTGTGTTCCATTTGTACCTCTGTTTTGATAATATACCTTGTTTTACAGTGATTTTACCTGTCCTTCCTACTGACTCTAGCTCCTTGAGGGCAGGGAATGACTGCTTTTATTGTTGTTTTAAAATTTTAGAATCCATAGTGTGTAGCATACTAATTTTACTTTAGATGCCCTGAAATCTCTAGAGAAACTGAGAGGTGTTGAGGAATGTTCTCTTTCCATCTCCTAAATTGAGTTATTTCTTCCTAATCCTAAAGATTATGAAAAACAGTTGCATGTTCAGATGTCATGTGAACCTCAACTGTTCTATCCACTTTGTTAGTCATTTATAGTGTTATTCTTAAACCATGGACTCCACAGGTCAGGCCCTAGAGTGCCATTCAATGGCAAGACTATGTTGCTCCAGAATACTGATCTGTTGAGACAGCCCTGCTTCAAAGGCAGACTAGCCAGATGACTGACAGCAGTGTTTACTGCTTGTAGAGTTTCCATACCTTAAAAAATATTTTGTCATTTGTATTTAGAGGTGATCATGCATCCTAGTCCCTAAATGCTTTAAAGTACAGTTTTTGAGCCTCTTTTTCAGTAGAGACATAGTGTAATTTTATTAAAAATAAATTTAATACTCTTAAATCTTACTTGATTGACCCTCCTTTTAGGTAAGAACTCAGGGCCCTATCCTCACAGCAAGTGGCAAAAATCCTGTAATGGAGCTCAATGAAAAAAGAAGAGGTCTTAAGTATGAACTCATCTCGGAGACTGGTGGAAGCCATGACAAGCGCTTTGTAATGGAGGTGTGTACCTAGACACAAGCCAGCCCATTTTTCCCTTCAAAGACGTAGTTTATCCTGAGCTTATACGTAAAAGTTTTAGACTAGGTCAATTCTTGTAGCAGTATTTGACTTTTGGTGTTTTCTGTGTTATGATTCATTAAAATTAAAACTACATGGAGGAATGGCATGGGATAATTGCAGCGTGTTGTTCTTGATTTTAGGTAGAAGTAGATGGACAGAAATTCAGAGGTGCAGGTCCAAATAAAAAAGTGGCAAAGGCAAGTGCAGCGTTAGCTGCCCTGGAGAAGCTGTTTTCTGGACCCAATGCAGCAAATAATAAGAAAAAGAAGATTATTCCTCAGGTATGAGTTAAGCATTAAACCTTTGTAATACCTTTGAAAAAATTACCATTTCTTTCTTATCTTTGTGTCACTTTAGCTTTTTATTTCTTTCTCTCGGATTTGGTGATCTTTTCTTTGGATTAGATCATGAATACTCTAAATGTGATCAGTGGTTCCCTATTTTGTGGTCTTTTTTGGTAAATTATATATTAAAAAGAGACTATTAGAATTATTTAGTGGTTTTAGGTCACTTGCTGAGATGGAGTGTTTTGAGCGATTTGGACTTTAATGAGATGTTATCACTTGTTTAGTTTAGGGAAGCTGTCAAGAATCCTTGGGGTTGACTTCCATCAGAGTTTGCAGATGCTCTTCCGTTTCCCCTCCGTTTTGTCCTGTGTTACTCATTTTGGGTTTTTTCTTTGGGGACAGCACAGAACTTGACCCTGTATTGCTTGTGTTCATTACTGACATTAGGAATTGTCAGTGCTGCTGAAGGCCCAGGATTGTGGCAAGATACTCAGAAAAGACAGCATCCTTATTATATGCTTTTAGGCAATAGATTCTTCTATCCATTCATTTATGCATTCAAAAATATTTTCTAGAATATATTATGTGCATGATTGTGAGGGAAAAAGAGATACACAAGTGATTGTAAGACATATTCTCTCCCTCATGGAGAGCGCTGGTGTAACAGTGTCTGAATATATTGATAGAAACAAGTCAATTAAAAATGTTTAGACTAACAGAATGAGGCTTGGATTATTAAAGATTCTGTTACACAGTTTGTTTAGTTTCTTTTACATATGCTAAATTCATTACAGGAGGGTAGAAATTATCTCATTTTATAGATGAGGAAATGAGGCCCAAAGAAATTAAGATGCTGCCTGTAGTGATATAACTAATTAATGGTAGACATTTCCTTTAAAACCAGATTTTTCTGCTTCCAAAGACCATGGCATTCTACTATTGAATATTATATCCATTTTAGAAACTTGTTTTGTGTTCATTTAAACTTCTTGTACTTACTATATAAAACACTGCTTAAATTCTAGGATTCAAATATAGACAAGGATAACTAACTTTTACTGAGATGAAATAGAAATAAAATGTTTAAATTGCAGTGGTGCACATGTAGAGAGAGAACAGGTGGGTTTTCTTTCCCCAAAATCTTCTAGAATATGTTCTAGATTAGCAGAAAGATAACTGTTACCTTGTTTATTTTGGTGTGTTTTTCCCATGGGTTACATCTTGTATTTGGTCAGTTAATTTTAGTGTTTGAAAGCCCTTTGTGCAGATGCTCATTAGGTGGTCTGGTTTGGTTCTGATAGATGTGAGCTTGACTTGGCGCAGTCATTCTCCTACTGCCAGATTGCTTCCTGACTCCTTTGGACTAAGCTGCATTTAAAAAACAGACGTCTGCATGAACTTTACTCATTTTTAGACATTTTCCATACTAGAAGTTAGAGATCATGTGTTCAATGTGCCTGACAGCCAAGAAGCAGTCTATTTTGGATGTGTGGGTTGGACTTTTTTCAACCAAAAAGGAAAAATGGCAGTTTCCTGTGCTCGGTACATTCGACTTTGAGACTAACTGTCTTCTGCCCAGTTGTGCTAATGGTTAGAGGTCGTTGTGTGAGGAGTGCAAGGGGGTGGTTTTCCATGTGAGATAAATGTGTGTATGCTCAGACAATTAAAGCTGGCTGAGGGACTAGTGACTTTCTCAGTGAGCTTTGAGGCTCTGCACTGTCTTCCCCTCACTGTAGGTGTAAGTAGGGAGTTTTAGTAGTTTCTAGCTTGAATTTTTGTTGCATCTTTATATTAAAAATCAGCATAAAACTTAATTCAAAACTAGATAGCCTTTGATTTTGTTAAAACTTCAGTTTAGAGTGGGATATTTTAGCAGTCCTCTGTACTGTTATTCCTTAACTTATGTCTTCTACTTTTCAGTTTTATATCCATATTCTCAGTTGCTCTTTCTGCTCTGCAGTAAGGAGAACAGAGTGGGTATCATCATCCTCATTTTATAATTAGTGGGGAGACTCCCATAGAGTTATGTGACTTTACCAGAGTCCCACTGCATATTAGAGCAGGAAGGGACTTTAAAGGGGCATTTATTTACTAATTTAGTGATTGATACGTGTACCCC